CATTAATCATAGTAGCAGTCGACTTTCACGCGTACATATATACGAGAATTTTTTTACCTAGAGCTCACATCATAAATCCATATACACTTCACGACCGATGCGCTTCTACATAAAAAAAAGGTAGTTTCTAACACTTAGTGAGTAGGAACTACCGCGGGATTTATAACATATTTTAGAAAGAATAATGTAATTCGAACAATGAATTGTTGCAAAAATTTGAAAATTTCTACTTTTTTCTCCACAGTGAAAACTTAATTTCTCGTTTTTTTTTTTTTTATTTTTTTTTTTATCTATATTATTGATAAAAATAATAACTATTGCGTCTTTTTTAACATTTAATGATAAAATTGATATAATATATGTACAATAATACCTACGCAGCAACGTGTAAACGAATTTTACAAAAAATATATTATACGTATATTCGTATATGTATACATCGTTGAGAAAAATGTCTGTAAAGCAGCTATACGAATTAAATTCTAAATTAAATTAAATTATTCTGAAAAATAATAAATAAAGATATATTAATAACAAATGAGTTTTTGAACAGTTCTCTGCAGAGTTAAACTGTTATAACTATATAGTGTTCTAAAATTTTCGATTGTCTTAAAATATTCCATTTTTGTTAATCATAAACATTGATCATTAATTATAACAGTATACGTGAAAAGTTTATACAGTAAAAATCACCACTACTAAAATCGCTAAAAACGACATACTGGTAACAACAAGTAAAACGGTAGGTTCCAGAACGAGCCAATATATGATATTACGTTAAAATAAACGTTTACAACGAGTATGGTTATAACGAGATATCGGCTACAACGAGTAAAATACATCGAATTATAGAATACATTTTCAGTTATTACCTGTGGGTTATATCTCTTTCCTATAATATACGTATATGGGTCAACTTGCTTGTTATATTTTGCTGATAATAAATAAATATTGTATCTTTTATTTTATTAATATGTATTAAACCACATTCCCACGACTGGTTTATTTGGCCAATATTTGGTACTGATGGGTACTTGCCATGTCGTCGGATCGGCATATTTGTACAATTATTTATCACTGGTGCCGTTCTCGAGGATTTTTGGTAAATGTGACACAAGTCAAAGGAACGGCCAGTATACTTGTATTACTGATCCCACGACTGGTTCGTGTAGACCAGGAAAAAACAGTAGCATGCTAACTTTGGTCCAGATCTAATGACGCCAAAGTTAATGTGTACTAATATTAAATAATATTTTATAATGAAATAATTATTTCAATGTACATTGTTATATTTTTTTTTTTTTTTTTTTTTTTTTTATAACAAAAAAAAAAACAAAAAAGTGAAAATATTAAATCATTATTAAAATATGGCCTACACCAGAGGCGTAATAATTATAATAAAACAATAGTTTAATAAAAATGCATAAATTATTTTTAAGTGCATTTTACCGGTAAAATGCATTTTTTAAGGCATATTTAGCTTTTTTTTAAAACATTTTTTAATAATTTTTAGTGCATTAAAATCCGGGCCCTAGTGATGAGTTATCAATGTATTATAAAGGGTGGTATGGTTGCAAATCCCCCACAGGACTGCCCTAAAGTACTTTTTGATACCCCCCCCCCCCCCCCATAAGATATTTTGAATTACGCCACTGGCCTCCACCACTAATATTTACTATAAACAACCAGCTGTGAGAACAGTGTACTTGATTACTTGTACAAGTGTTCAATTATTGACGTACTTGGCAAGTACGTCAGTCGCTGGAATGCGGCTTTACTTACATATAATATAATATTTTGTACTTTTGTGTTTCATATAAGTAAAATAAAATTATCTGTTTTTTTTTAGTATTTCTCGCTTATCATTTACAACGAGAACTATTTTTAACCTGACCTCGCTTTTATTATTGTCATTAAAAATCATATAGCTCTAATAAAATTAATATCAATAATTTTATTCTATTTTAAGCGTTCGTTTTTTTTTTGTTTTTCCCAAAAACGTATAGCACTTATATGCAAATAGACTAGCTGTTTCACCAATCAGAGCATAAAAGATATTTATCAATAAATAGTACCACAATGCATTGTTAATATTATAATGTTTTATTATAATATATTACGCGCATAGTGTATATTAAAATATGAAATTGACGTTCAGTCGTTCACCATCTGTCACCGTGATTGGACAATTGTAGATTAATATTGCCACATAATTATTTATCTCACGTACAATAATTTACCAATCTAGAGTGTTTCTTTTGTTTCAAATTTTAATAACGAATTATCTATTGTTCGTCTCTTTTCTCGATATCCACCGTAACATTGTCAACGTAAAATAAAAATGGATCGTTTTTTTACGATGAGTTTAGTGTTCATCAACATTTACAAATGTAAATATCCATAACGACTTAATCAAGTTTTAGATTATTGAGGTTATTGAGAATGCAATAACATTAAAGAAAATTTGTGTCATTATAATCGTTATTATAAACAGGTATATTAAAAAATATCATAAAATCGTTGTTTAATAAATATATAGTATTACTAATTTTGCTGATTATAATCATGTGTGTAAAATAAAAATCAATGTGTATAATCGGTAGAATAAAATAGAGATGTATGGTTACTAATCAGTAATCACTTATCTTATATCGTTATTTATATTATTTTTATATTGATACGAATAAATAACTTGCATAAAAATATTAATCGCATTTTTTACGATAATATAGGTTTACATTACTGCTAAAAGGTATGTATTTTAGGTACGTGTTATTAATTTAAGCGGAAACAAATAAAATTATTTCTTCGAATGGAAATAATTAATTTTTATATTATTTATAATAATAACTCTTGAGAAAATATTCAACGGAAAAATCGTGAAAATATTTCGAACATAATAACATATCATATTTTATTACTGAAAATTATATATTCTTCGTTACATTAACATTGATCGTATTTCGTTATTTGAAAAAGCTTTTTAAACAAAATAGTTATTTTATTTATGTTTCCTTACGGCGTTAATGATATGTATAAAATAGGTAAAGATAATATTATGATTATCATCATTGTTATTTGATTAAATATTATTAAAATAAGAAAATACTCAATATAGTATATAATATAATGTTTTAAATCATACACGTTGGTTGATATACAATTATTAATTCAGATTCGGCAGCGTAGCCACGGGCGGGTTTGTTAACACCAACAACCTGGAACTTTGTTTTTTTACGTTGACGGGTTGCAATGAATAATTGTTTCCTTATAATATTACATAATTTTATTATGGTTTGATCGCACGGTACAATGTAAGTAAATTATTATCAAAGTGGATATTCAAATACATTTTAACCACGATTATATTCCTTAGCATTTAATACCTGCAATTATGTTCATTTTCAACTTTTTAATCCTTTTATTATCTATTTGTCGAAAATCGCTGCTCATCGGCCGTTACAAATTTATTTTTCAACGTAATTCTTACGATAAACAGCTCCTGCCCTTACGTCTTAAAACTTCGTTCATATAATACACGTATACAAAATATATATCGTTGTACGTAGATATAGAAGCCGTACACGCAGGTCTCTTCTGATATAAATACAAAGACAAAAGAAAAAGAAAAAACGCTTAAAAAAAAAAGCTTGTCCTTTGACACTACACGTTTCTTTTTTTTTTTTCCGCCGTTGTTATTATCTCCGTAGCCACTCGTTTTAAACACTACACCATAAAAAAATCCCAGAAAAAAATAATTAAAAAAAAAGAGGGCCGGAAAACGATTTTAATTGCTCTATAACGTATACCTATAATATACGCACGCATCATAATGTATATATGGTATATATGCGTTTATAACAGCTTTCTAAGTGTCCTTTCATTTATCTACGCCGCCGGTGCAGCATATAATATAATGTAATAGGGTCGCATCTCGCGTCGCAGTCTCCGCCAATTATTTCGTGGTTTACTCGTCTTTGCTGCTGCTATAACGCAGAATTATTGTCGCTCGTTATTTCGGTCAGAGGTGTTTTCAAATAATTTCGTTATGTTATAATTTGCGGTTGGTGCTCAGATATGCGCCGAACGGATTCACTACAACTCAATGCAGCAATCTATAACCTATGTTAATTCTTAATATTTTTGTCTTTCTGGATTTTATCTATACCTGTTTTATAATTTTTACAATTTGTATTATTAGATTTCAATAAATATAATACATTATTGATGGTTGTACAAATAATTATTAAATGGTCGTGTAATTATTCATGGATAGGGAAATTAACCATACGAGTATAATATCGTACTACGACATGTCTGTCTTTGCTATTCAAATTTCTAAAACTACGACACTAACATATCTTCATTTGTCACTTAGGAGAGGGAGATGGCTGGTCATATCTTAAAATTTTAACGCATTAACTAGTGCATTATATATTTAAACTCCATCGCCGCGCACGTCATTAAAATATTGTATAAAGTACCTATACATAATATATTATACTGCAAAGTAGGCTAAATAAACAAAACAATTTGCACATTGTAATTTTTTTGTTCGTAAGACTTACCAACACCTAGTCAAAAACCTAATTTCTCCAAAAACTTTAAATTAGTTTTTAAACTCAATTCGATGCTTTCTTTAAATTAAATAATTTTAGTTGAAACGAAAAAAATAAACGAAATTTAAAACTAATAACTTTTGTTAAACTCTACTCTGAGATTTCAGATTTATATAATATTATACATTTATATTAACTCTTTAAACAATGACGTCCACTTCAAGATTTCTTTCTCTCGTTTGATCGATTATAATATATAATAATAAAGCAAACGATAACATATTATTATAATATTACAATTACCTTACTACTCTCAGACAACTTTGATAATTACCAAGTCAAACATACATAATGTATCGGCTCAATAGCTTTGAATTCCAAAATTACAATTTAAAATTTAAAAATAATTATAACGTATCATATCAATTTTTTATGTTATAGGTGTCATGGATAAGACACAGAGACATACATATACTGACAGTGGGCGCATATACATACACCAGTGACCAACGGTTCCAGGCCATTCATCACAGATCGCATTCAGACCAGTGGACGTTGCATATAAAATGGGCTCAAAAGAGAGACGCAGGCATTTACGAGTGCCAGGTGAGCACGCAACCAGTAAGAAGCATATTCGTCACACTCAACGTCGTTGGTGAGTATTTATTTTTATATTTCTTTAACTTTGACATTATTTTTCAAGGTGATTCACTAAATGTACTCACGTCCATTTTTTCCTCTTACTATGAATTTATCGAAAGTCTAAATTTTCTATTGTAATTTAATAAGCGGATTACATATAATATAAATACATTTATTTTTTTAACGTTTATATACCTAATTCGAAATTCAAACGAGTAGTTTCTTAGTTATTTAAATTGCTATACTAAAGATAATAGCTCTTAAAAATGGTTTTACGAAAATATAAAATAGATGCAATATAGGTTTTAATATTATTATACTTGGACTTTAAATTATAAATATTTATAAACTACCTAATATTAGTTACTAAAGTTTTCAAATTACCTTATTAATAAAATGCATGGGTACCCTCAAAAGAGTGACAGAGAGGACAACTTCGCTTTTAGTCTAATTTAAAAAAAAAATACAGAGCTATTCATTTTCGAAGTGAAGTTATTTATTTTTTAAATAATACCTACACACAATTCTGAAGAAATATTTTTTTGTACTATGAATCATATTGAATGTGGATTAAAGTTATCATTACTTTACTTTTATTCGTATTTTTGTAGCTAGTAATATTTTATTCTACCAATTTACTACCACCAAATACCATACACATTACAGAATGAACTATAAAATAATAAAAATTTGTATTCAATTCTTTTAATTACATATTATATATATATAAATACATGGGAGTGGTATATATTTCAAAAATCGAAATCGAAAACATTATTGACTGTTATTGGGAGTAGTATATATAAATACTATCAATAACAGCCAATAATGTTTTCGATTTCGATTTTTGAGTAAAAATTAAGACTGTCCCTCCAACATTTTCACCTATTTGTTTTTTTTTCTTGTCCCTTATTATCATGGAACTACTATCCTAAGTATACAAGGTTAAATAACTCATAAATTACTCCTTCAAATTTTGATGTATTAAAATGTTCAAAAAAATTAACTACTAAATAATTTACAGGTATTTATAGTTTTTATTTTCATAGGATACATTAAGTTTTAATACAAAAAAATTCAAGAATTTGAAATCATGGTCTTTTTTGTTTTAAAATTCCAAAAATTAAATATTTGAATAGTTACATTACCAAATAAAAATGGTATTGTCCACTGCACATGTTTAGTGAATCACTCTGTAATACAGAGTATATATATATATATATATATATATATAAGATTCTTATACTACTCTTTGAAATACAGAGTGTATCATTTATCAATAAATAGTCATTTTCTTAATGCACACTACGTAATTTTAAGTCATAAAATTACGAAGTTTTAAGAAAAAAAAAGTATTTTTACAACTTTTTTTATTGATATTGTTTTTCTAGGTTCTTACTTTTTTAAAAGACTAGAGCCACGATCCATTAATTTATTGTAGCTGTATACAAGCATTTAAATTGTAGATAGTTAAGTGGATTGGTATGGCTTATTGTACCGCATAAAATCTTGGTGCACTTTTATTCCGCACGCATTTAAACTGCATACACTAAATTAAATAAAAAATTTACTTCATTGGTTCGAAGATTTATTTTTATTGTTACATTGAAATACTCAGTTAAATTTTATGCTTTGAATATGAAAAGTAAAATATTTTTTAATCACATAAAATCATGTACATTATTGCATAAAACAAAAGTATGTTTTCATTAACACATATAAATAACTCATTGATAAAATCACCGTCAATTACGTATAATATATAATATATTCGTATTACATGCATTATGTATTATATCATAGCTATATAGTCCATATAATACACAGTTTATATTATATTTCTCTTTTTTTTTATTCGTTTCGATGATAATAATAATTGTTAGGCGTCCAACTCTTCGCCATATTAAATGGCGTGTGAAACACGGCTGTTGTTACATGATTATTGTTTATTATTACTGTTATCTTTCTTGTTACAAATACTTTTCGTCGTCGATAAATGCATACCTACATTTCAGACGATAAACCGCCACCTTCGAAGAACGACGATAGTTTACTAGATATGATGATAAGAGACGGAGACTTTACAAAAGGTTTTTATACAAATGTGTTTGCATGTGGTTTGTTGTTAACAAACGTTTGCTGAACTAACGCTAATAACACAGTTATTATTATACAAAACGTTTCGTGTAAACCTGCTCGAAACGGCCATTTGTAAGTAATTTGTTTTCGGTGATTTTACCGCGTTATAATTAGGTATAATAATATGCATTATTGAATGCTAAAAAAAAAAAAAAAACTGTGTAACTAAATTATGCGCAACACATAAAAAAACGATTAAAAACTACATTATTATTATTATTATTTCCATACTAATATAAAAACAAAACCTAATCTGGTCACTGTCGATTGAGGCGTGCGGCACTTATTTATGTCGAATATTAGCATGCAGACGATACGAGCATTAAAAACAAATTAATTTTGTTAATCTATTATTTTATAAAGGAAACAATCTCCTTAGAACGCTAAAGTAATGCGTTGTTATTTGTAATTTGAACACAATTTCACTTGTTTCATATACATTTTTGATTACATTATTTACCGTTTGGTAAAATGGATTTCTATAAGATAGATAATTTAATCAGAAAATTATCAAGATATTCAAAAGAAAAACAACTCTTATTGTACAGTAAATACTTTTAAGTACACCTACATATAATATGTTCAATATCCCACTACATAAATACAATGTTTTCGGTTTTACCGTTCAATCTTTTAAAATTAAAAAATGACGTCAACGAATGGTAAAGATAACATATTTTGCGTTTAGAGAACGAAGGATTTAAAAGTTTTCTTTTAACTTATACAATAGACAATTCATTTAAGATTAAAAATTATAGAATGGTTACTTTTAATTTAAACACTTAACTCAGAACTGATGTCACACAAAATCACTATTTAATATTTTGACACATTGCAACTCGCAGAATTCTTAAGATTTTCAGACACCGAATACGCCCTTAAAAACCCTAAAAGCAAACTAGGTTTTTGATTTCACATGAGATCATTTTCAATGTCTGCACCGAAAACTCTGACGCAAACTTTATGTATAGTTCTATAATTGTATTATATTTGTCCGAAAAATATCTCCGAAATATTCAATTATTTCATCTCTCAACTCAAAATCTAAAATAATATTAGTACAGCACTGTAATTAAATATGTACGTTCTATAAAACACAATACGCAGTTCATTGAATTTGACGTTGTAATATGCCACATATACGTATCAAATATTAAGGAATATTTTGCCATTTTACATACATAAACTTCTCTCTATGTACAGCAACATAACGTTATAAAAATTACAAATTCACATAAATATTTTCTTGAAATTTGTTTATATAATTTTGAATAATAAATACATCTTTATTTAAATAAAACAATATTCAATTTCAATAACTTTTTCGGGCAAATACGCCATAAGTATATTAAACACTTATAAACAATTTGTAATAAATTTTAAACACTTGGTAAAATTATTTATATATTTTATTATTTATTTTTCCTGTAAATTAAATTATAATCTATAGACAGTTAGACTAAAACCTAGATGTTACTCAATGATTTTGATTTCACGAAAACCATTTTATAAGGGTGGCCGACTTCAAAATGTTCAAATACCGTATAATCATAACCTTTAGGTAATTCGAAGAATTCAGAAATAAATTTCACCCGAATTCATTTGAATTTAAAGGAAAATACAGGTACTAACTTCACAGAATTTTGTAATGTGTAAACCGATTTTGAAACTCATACAGCTTGAACTTAAATGAAACTTAAGGACCCATGAATCCTAATAAATGTATAGTTATATTTTCTTACCTATTTCACTCCAATACGCTGAATAGTCAAGCCAATAGCTCGTAAGTCATAGAAAGAAAATGTCAACATAGCTAGCTTATAAATATGTTCAAAATAAGCATGTTAGTTAACAAGTGACAATTTGGGTTAACTTAAATAAAATATAAAAAGTTTTAAAAAAAAAAAATCAAAAATGAATACACAATATAGTACATTAAAAATAAAAATAAAAATGTATAAATATTTATATACACAATTACTACACATGATAATCTTAGAAATATTTTTATAAAATCGTAGTCATTGTGTGATTATATATTATAAAGGTACAAGAAAAAAATACATAGTATGAGCATTTCACGTACTGCAGTTTATGCTACAAACAACTTGTTAACTTTGAAAATGACCAAGTTCCTTGATGTTTCAAATTCAATAAGTCGACGTCCTCTGTACTTGAAATCCTAAATACGTAGGTTCTTTCCACTCCAGTGAATTGAAGAAAGTCAACCGTGTAATTATACTGTGTACACACACACATATATACATATATAGGTCGACATGAAACTTTACGGTTTTTTTTTTTACAATTGACTCATTTTAGTTGTGTATAATGGAAACTTGAAAATGTGATGTGTAATAAAATAAAATTTTTAATGTAAAAAACTGAATAATTTTGTTTTGATAATATTTATTTAAAAAAAAAAAAAAAAAAACGTGTGCACAAAATCTTACAATCATCTCTTCAAAAATAAACAATAGTTAATAATATTACCATTTTTTTTATACAGTTAAAATTACTTAGTATCAGTTGAAATCTCACCTACTAACCTGTCAATCACCATAAGCCCCTGGATATTTTTCAATACTGAGATCCAATAATCAAATGATAAATTGTATAATTAGATCACTTTTGAGTCATGATTTGGGTTTCAATCTAATCAATTTGTATCATAGAACATTCTGATAATAATTTAAATCTGATTTATTCAATACATTATACATATCATTCAAATAGGTAGGTATATCCTTAAACTTCCAATTAAGTATTTTCAATAATTTAAAATTAAAAAAAATATATATGAATTAAACCTAGAAACCAAACTTAGATCATTGATAAGCCAATCATTTCTACATAATTTAACTTGTCTGCTTGTCAAAGAAAACATACAATGTTTAAGCAAATATGAAATTAATGATATTTTTAGAATTTCCTTACAAATAAATAAAGAAAATATTTTAATTAATTTTATTTTTCATAGTAAGAAATATTATTTCCTATTTTATGTAATAGTAAAAAATTATACAAAACATTATTGATTATAAATATATATATTAATGAATAATTGTATACAAATAAATGCATTTGTAACTAAAAATTAAGTTTTTTTTTTTCAATACATATAAAAGTAGTAACATTTTTTTAATATTTTATATGGGGCTTTTGAACCCATTTTATATTACTGGGTCGGGATCCAATCATGATTTACCCTGAAACTGATTATACCTATATAATATTTTAAATTACATACATTTATACAAAACAATTTAAACTTAGTTGCTGTGAAGCACGTTCAGATAATATAACGACGTCGGGTAGGTTATGTTTTTTGGCAGTGCAAGCCGCGGAAGGAATAAATAGAAATTATTAAAATTCTTTCCGAGTAAAATCTAAATTATTATCCACGCGCACTACCCGGAATAATAGACGAAAAATGTAAAAATAAAAACTACGAAAAACTTGAATTTCAAATAAGCATACACCATTAAAATAAATTGGATTATTATTATTATTATTAATAATAATAATATCCATACCAATATAATGATATAATATATTGTATACATATGCCATGAATCGACTTTTCGGATATTAGTGGCTATAATTTGTAATTCTTATAACGATATATAGGACTGAAATAACACGAGACGAGTTGAGAATACGTAATTACAGTGCATTTAGAGTATTATTTCGGCGGTAAAATTTCACCCGTGGCCATTGACGACTGAATGGCGTAGTACAAGTACAGTGAGTACACCGTTGGCTTATTCTAGTAAATAAAGGGAACCTCTAAAAATAGGGATCAAAAGCATTTCAATTTTTGAATTTTACGAGTCTTTTATTATTTCTCAATCAGTTTCTATCCGATATTTATGAATTCATAATGATTTAAATACAATTATGAAAACGACAACCATTTCAAAATCGTATCACGCGGCGTTTGTTTTCGACAATTGAATTTCAAACATCACGTATTATTATAATATGTATTCTACAAAAAATATGTTAGATTATTTTTAAGATAAAATGACTACACTATATTTATAATATACACTAAGTGATTCCCTAAACTAGCTAACCCCTGTTTTTCTTTTAGTAATGCATTAATTCGAAATCGGATGATTGGAATTTTTAATTATACCATAGTAGATCATATTTTCAAATACTCAGATGTTTAAACAAATTAAGAAGTTTTTTGTATTCATAAAAACTAATTTTTTCCGAATGATTACAGCTTTTATTTTGACAGATATTTCTTTTTTTTTAATTTCAATGTATCTAAATCAAATTGCAGACAAATAAATTTTGAATTACTGAACATTGTAAATTAAAGAAAAAACTATGCATTAAAATTATAGGATCGGAAAATAATATGGAGGTAATGATAATTTTAAAATAATTTTATTATTTTTATAAATCTATAAACATTTTAATAATTTGTATACATTTTCTGAATTTAACCAATAACAGATTAAATATTGCATGTATTTTAAAGATATACATAGGTAACAATCATTAAAGACTTATAAAATGTTATCCTTAGAGCATACATTTTGATTACATGGACTTAATTCATTTAAATTTAAATAGGTCAAAATTTACAAAGTAAAACGGCTACTTAACAATAATTCTTACTAAAAGTATGGTTCATATTAGAAATAAAATAGCTGTGATACAAGGTTCTTTGTTTCAAATAAGAAGATTAATGAAACAATTTATTAATAAATAAATAAAATAAAAATAGAGCAATCCTCCAATAGTATAAACAATTTCAGTATTCTAAAGTGTAGAATTAAATCAGGTACTTTAGTATTAGAGCATTTTAACAAGTGCATCATTTAAGGATAAATCATAATATAAGATAGTAGGTAAATTTAGTTTTTAAATATATTATTGCACTTATAGATAAGCATATAACTGAAAGATGTACCCCTTGACCCTCAATATTTTTTTTGAATCTAAAAATAATATTTATACTTCAATGTTTTTTTACAGGAGTATTTTGGTACTGACTATGAAATGTGAATGTATATACTTAAATGTATATATTATATACTATAGGTTCATAAAAAAATAAAAAATACTTTCATAATTAAGACGTATCATTGTATATAAAAAGGGTAGTGTTTATTAAAATACACTAAACTTAAAAGAACATACTTTTTTAATACATAAAAATTGACTTAGACAATAAATGTATAGTCTTGTAAATTGATCTCTCGCTGTACAAAGATATGATATTATGATACATTATATTATATTATATACGAAGTGATGTCGCGTTTCTATAAGCAATAGAATATAATAGAATGGGACACGAATTGAGTTATAATAGTATAATAATATTATTTTCACCGCCAAGATAATATTACATATTGCAAACCAACCGTGTCATTTGTATATAATATCATAATTTTATTTCTATTCGGTAAAAAAAATCGCTTCCGTCTTACTTCCGCTCACATGAAATAAAACGTTTTAGGCCTTTATGAAAAAAAAAAAATGTATCGCTTCGGGCGAGTAAGTGTGAGGGGTTGATGACAACTACAATAAGGTGGCAGCTGAAAAGTGGTGCTACAAAAAGTATATATTTATTTTTTGGACCTTTTTTGGACCCTAACGCATGCGCATCCTCCACACTCGAAGATAAAGGTCGAGTCGACTAATTAATAGCTCTTCACCACCTTTACCATCACTACTGAAACCACCACAGATATATGCATATAATATGTACGCCGTGATTTACGGACAACACCTCTGTCGTCGAAGTTTTGAATATTATTATTATCTTTGTATCTATTATTACGTCTGTCATTCTTCGTCTGACGAATCCGACGTGTGATGCAACTTCCACAATTGCAACAGTATATTTTCTGAATCCTCATCCCAAACTCGCAACAATGATTTATTACACGTTACATCACTATATATGCTATTTAATATTATACAGGGTATATATTTTTGAATAATAATAGCCACCATATCTTCCTTATTCATTTTCATGGGCCTATTATTCTTAGTATACATAAATCAAATAACTAAGAATTTACTCCTTCGAATTTTGTATTAGGTACATCAGCGTTAAAAAAATATATACAATAATTAATTTACAATGAAAAATGAGGTTCTTATTCAAAAAAACATAAGTTAGTATCCCCGTTATACAACACTACTCGTCAAGAAGTAAAATATCAAAAATTTGAGAACACGGTCTTTAAGTACATATCATACTTGACGAATCATCCTGTATAATGTATTTATATACCATAGCATCCGTGATTTTCGATAGGTTGGATGACTGGCATGCACATCCAACAAAATATAATACATATAAAGTATGACATATTAAATGAATCACGATGACAATGAACCAAACTTTGTTTTCTACATATAAACGTGTAGTTTAATATAAGACCAAACTTTTCCGAGGAATTTAAGTTTTTTGACGTACAATCGCCGAAATTATCTTAATGTTCTTCTCGAATATTTCACCAACAACTATTTTCACGACGCATTTTAATCTTTCCGACGACGTGGTGCGGGCGTAAACTACTCGGTCTGGCGCATGTGTATGACGTGCGCCATCCGACGTGTTCAATGCTCGTTAGTTTCTACTTTTATCAAGACATGTCGTATACATGTATTGTAAATATGTACACTGTACACAGTACACGTATGCAATGAAGACGGGCGTGTATAAACGACCTTAAGAAGTAATAAAATAAAAACGTCCACATTTAACAGTAGGTAATGTCCCAACGTTAAGTTTTAACTGCAAAGTCGGGCATAAAAAACGGGTTTAAGTCACGAACCGCAGACCGAGAACGAAAGAGAAAAACAGCTGCAAATGGGGTGATGCACTATAGATATAAAATAAAATATTGTAAATAAAATATAGACGTATCTATATAAATTTCACGCCAACACTGGAGCCTTATCAATTATTCAAGAGTATATTACGATCAAATGGTTTTATAAATGCGTATCTAACGACATCCTACTTTTATTTTATTCTCGTCGAATTCACAACTGTCAACTATGATAGGATGTAAGGTAAAGAATTGATTCACAAAAATATGACTTGATTGAACGAACTGCGAAGAATTAGGTTTAAGAACAAACACGTCTACTACAATTTATGACAATAATAGCTGGTACTGTACTGCATTACTAGTGTCAAATTAAATAATGCATAAAAATTCACTCTGTATTAATAGCTTTGTTAAATGTAACCTACGCATATTTTTAGCACAGTCGTTTTTGGGTGATTTTTGTCGATTATAAAATACAATTTTTCATTATTTTTTATAACCAATGGCAACTCTATAAACAAAAAAATAATATGATTTCATTTTCTGAAACAAAACCCTTATATGAGCCGCCGCCTGCCTTTGAAACACGAATTTTGGAAAATACTTTTTAGTACACCTCTATATGTAATGAATAACATTTGTGTTTCGAGTATTTCGCAATCAAAGTTTTTAAGCTCTACATTAATTAATTAAGACATCTTCATTTATTTATACAACAATAAATGTGCTTAAGCCTAATCGAAAAATTAAACGGCCTGAAATTGCTTACAAGATTTAGTTAGAAAAACGAGAAAATATGATGTTAAACGTTTATAAAAACGTAACAACATCATCGTGCTATAGTGTCATATTCTATATAAGAGCTGCGTGGGACGCGAAATCGTATATCTAAAAGTAGTTACGTTTTTTCGTTTGATTTTTAACCGCAGAAAAACATAGTTCCGGTCTTTTTCCTTTATTCTCGTGTTGGTATTTATTGATGTATATTACGGAATTCAATTTGAATTTAATGGAAACAGGGGACTGCTACTTTGTTATGTTGTTCACGCTAAAGTCCCACAAACTCAAATCCTTGTATTTCGATAAATTCCCAATAAAGTTTTAAAGCTATTCTGACTTTGCCTGTAAGCGTCTATTTGTATGTGTGTAGCACTTTGTATATTATTATTCAATATTTTGAATTCAAGTTAGAGAGTTATTGAAAGCACGTGTATATGTTTGTTAATAATATAAACAACGAACAAAAATGTTTAACACCAATGTTTCGAACACAATACATACCAAGGTATATAGTATATACATAATGGCGTTTACTATGTTTACTTAACCGTCTTCTTCTTAAGTAAGCAAATATATGAACTACACTTACGTTTAATAACAAAATATCGTTAAACGTATTTAATTCATTTTAATGACGATTTTCAATTATCCATTTCGCTGCTTTTATAATTTATATGTATATTATGTATAATTATAAAATATGTATATATATAGTGTATTTTATTGCTATGCGCTCGTAATTCTTAAACAATAGTTGGTTAAATATGAACTATTTTGATTGCTTTTTACAAATATAAATGTGTGTGTATTTACTACTCATCATACATATTAATGCTCAATATCCGAATAGAAAACTTATATATTTTGGGTAAATCATAATTTGTATTGTTTGTTACATGATAATATATTCATATGATAATTTAACCATACTTTTAGAGAAACTCATTAATCCTATTGCATTATCTAATAAACTTTATATGCGGAAAGAAAAATAAATAGCTTTCATCAATCTGAGTTTGAAAGTATATCGCACACATTCTCTTTTTAAGAGGTTTAGTATAGGTAATTTAGATTATATCTTAAGATTTAAAAAACGACAGGACCTGCAAAATGCGCAAACTACAATGAAAATCACACAGCCGACTATAGAAGATGCAAAACCTACAAAAACATATTAAGCTCCAACAATTCAATAGACCGGAAAACAATTAAAAGAAATCATTCTATTCCAACAGCTGCTGTGTCTCTCTCCCTTCCTTGAAGCAGCGGAAACAAAATTCTCAATTCAAATCCAAAACAAAAACCGCCATACGCCAAAACCACAGCATCGCCTGATCAACCACTTCACATCATCACCAAATGCCTTAATGAACTCAAATCTATCCTTAACCCCATTATAATTCCCTTAACTTCTTTATTAAGCAAAATCTCCTCTCTAACACACATTATACCTTCCGTACATAATAACACATTCACTTAATAATTTTAAACAAAGTCGTTGTAACATGAAATATATTGATACGTTAATAAATAAATAAAAAAATCTTAAGGGAAATCAAAATTATAAATATATTTAATTACTTTTATTTATAATGGCATTTAAGTAGTTGTACGGCACAAATTATCACTATTTATATTTGTCGTGTAATATTACAAAATTATATTGAAAAACATTTAGGTTAGATTAATTTTTATGTACTATGCTTATTTAACGATATAACATTTTGAGCAAAACTATTTAAACGCAATTAACGTATATTAAAATCCATATTGAATAATTATTTATTTATTATGTATACATATCCTCTATCGTTGCATAATCATTACTGAATAAAACTATTGTATTGATTTCCACAGTGCCATCTGCTTCGATTTCTGGTGGTCCAGACATTCACGTGAACGAAGGGAGTACCATTAATCTGACGTGCATTGTGAAGTTCAGCCCGGAACCGCCGTCTTACATCTTCTGGTATCATTACGACGAGGTATGTAAATTATGTGCTTACTAATAGTCTTAAACGCGTGAATCGGTCGATATATTTATATGACTTTTAAACGTCGAAATAGATATGACATTTAAGATTCTGAGCGAAGCATGGAATGTATTGATTTTACAATAATGAGTGTGTATTTTTTTTTTTAATTATTCGTGTTTGATGAAACTTTTTAAAGTAGATAAAATGCTCACATCATCAACTTCCAAGGAGGTTTTCGGTAGATAATTGGATCAAATTTTTTTTTAGAGGTCGAAATTGAAAATTATTTTTTAAATTAATCAAAAGAAAAAAGGAAGCACTAGTATTATTATCATTAACATAATTGTTTAATAATCTTGATTGCCAAAAAAATAAACCATCTAAGTTCGGAATCTTTTTTATCACATTTAATAATTTATTATCAAATTTAAATATAACACAATGTTCATTATATTGACCTACTTAATAATGAAGCTAATTTAACCCCCATTATACAAATATTACAAACTTATAGTAGAGCGACCACTTACTTGACCACTAATATCTTGTCTTGGAATAATTTAAAATCAGTTTATCTTACATGAATATAATAATATCGTTTACCTCTCATTTAATAATAATTCCAAAAATTATGTTTTTTTTATAAACAATTAATCAAACAAAATATTTGAAGAAATGACACTGCAGCACGATATAATTTAAATAACAATAAAAAAAATGTATTTAAAACAACACGAGATTATTACCTAACTGATTTCTAACGAGTAGATTTCATAGTATACATTACACGCATATATAGGCTATGTATATATAACGAGGCCAACTTTGGCTAACAAATAAACTTAAATGCCTCCGTTACTGAAATTTCACTCCATCTTTACCTCTCTCTCCTCCATATACACACACACATATGCATGCATACACTGTAATGAACAGCTTCTAATTTAGTAGTCTAGCTAAAAGTAAATATACACTTCGACCGTCTCTCTTCCACACCCATCAACCTTCTCCTCCGCAATACAAACACTATATATTATGAATTATGATAAAGTATGATATATGTGAACAAAACATTAATAACACTAGGTTTGTATACATATTATAGGTAAAACGTTCTTGAGTTCTCAAATTCATGTTAAACGTAATTTATAAATTATCTTCACACGAATGCACAGATATGATTTCTATTGGTTTACCTCTATATTTTGTCACTTGCAATTTGATAATAATTTATATTATATTATAGTTTTTACTTTTTTTTCAATCCTAAAATTTTCTGTTTCACGTATAAATATCCATACATAGTAACCACAGCCGTTCGACTTGTAGAACGTGCAGGGAAAACCGTGGTTAAATATAAACGTATTATTGCGTTAAGAGCGTCATCAGCGAGAGAGGAAAATACGATTGTTGGTAATTATTATTATACGTATATTGCATGTATACTATATACACGAGAGCCATTTTAAAAGTGTGGTCGTCGTATTTGTGGTAGTAGTTCCTCGATTTTAAGCTCCGGATTATTACTGGAATGAGAACAAAAAAAAGTTTTAGGATTTTAATTATTCTCCTCGATGGTATCATAATATCCTATATCATATTTATACAAAACACATATATGTAATATGGACGGTGCAACAACATCATATTAGGATTATGATGTAATTTACGTAATTAATAAACACGCGAAAAATATACCAACCTATGTATTATAATAGCTGTGTGTGTGTATATATAGTTAGATTCGCATTACTCGCGGCGCGTAATATTGTTATATAGGTATAGGTACGCTTACCTGTACGGTAATAAATAATAGCTAAGTTCCTTTTTAATTGCAGAGTATAAAATATCTTTAAAAACTTAATGATCATGAAATACACGGCATAACGTCCAAACACTCCAAACGCTACCAACGTTTTAAAATAATTATACGTGCTTGAAAGTTATAAAAGTTGAAATAGTTAATGCCAAAAATTGTATAGCTTTTATTAATTGCAGAAGTATATTAAACATTAATATTTATTAAAAATAACTACCAATGATTCAATGAAATATGGTGGAAAGCTTAAAACTGGCTGGACAACAAAAATAATACGTAGTCGTCATGGTGTATACCCTCCACGAGTCATAACTAAAAACATGGCATCATCAATAAGTTTTGGAATACTTAGATTAAAGTTATAGTACAAAAATTTATTTTTACTACTCTGCACATATTTTTAGTAAAAAAAAAAAATTAATACCTACGTTTAATAATTGAATGTACGTTTATTTAAATAATAAAAATAAACGTAAGTAAATGTTTTATTTAGAAAATAATGAATATGTTTAAAAAAAAAAAGAATAAAAAAAATGATAAGATATTAATAATTTTTTTCTAAATTTAACAAAAAATATATATTTTAATTAATTTTTTTTTAAACATTTCATTAAATAAGATGATCTTTAGCTTAGTCTACTTAAATCAAGAACACATAAAGAAAAATATGCAATTTTTAAAATTTTCGAGCCCTAATAATTTTTTTAAACAAAAGTATTTTCAAGTGAAATTATCTTGATATCACGTTAGTTTAAAAGCAAACAGCTTACTCGTTTTAATTCAATATAATATAGAAAATATTATTAATAAAAATTTTATTAAAAATTTACTGAAGATTTAATCTTCAGTACAATTGTGCATCAATCTTGTGTACTATATAATATACTACATATTTTATATGTGTAAAAATTGTAATTCATTATAAAACAACCCAATGATTTCGTTTTGATTGTTTAGCGTGCGCTTTGTGCTTGAGTTTATCAAATGAACCTCCTAAAATAATTTAATAAACAATATTGTATACTTTCTAGTATAATATTCTACACGCGAATCGCTTTATTTATCTCCGATCGAAACCGATTAAAAAAAAAAAAAATAATAAACATTTTTTATGGATTTTGTTATGTTATGCATACATAACTTACCGCATAGTAGCCAACAGCGACAGTAGCGTACTGTGAGGATTGGTGGAATTATGGGATTTGACCCCTCTCCTTCCGATCGTTGAAATGTTTACACAATCTGTAAAATAGTTCTTTTATCTATAGTTTTATCGACAAAAAAATTAAAAAAATGTTTTTTGTAAAATAAAATAAAAATTTTGTCTTTCGGTTTTTGCAATATTTAATTTAATCAATACAAAAATGCCATTTCACTTAATTCTATTATAATAATAGTATGTTTATTTTATGCCCTCTTTCCCAGTGGGTTAACTGGTATTTTTATGCATACTTTCAATGTACGACGACTATAATTCGATCCCTGTTGGCTTTTAATAAATTATTAGTTTTATTTCTCTCTCTATGAATTATATGTTCTTACATGAAGTTATAATTATTAAGCAATACAAAAAACTTGTTCCATTCACCATAAATTAAAATTCCTGACCACGTCATTGCAGCAATAAAAGCTATAGTATAAATTCTAAGAAAATCGAAGAATGAAAAATAATATTTATGTATTATATAGTTATATTGATTCGAATTTTCGAATTCCCGTCGGTCGTATTCTTAGATAATACATTACATAAATCGTCATAATATAATATCATATATCATGTACACGATTAAATGTGAGAGCCAACAGTTAATCCATGCATATAACATTGTATGTACGTAGTACGTAAACTATTTGACAGTTAGATCCTCCAGACACTTAAAAACGACTACGTATTTCACGCGAAACTTAACAGTAACAAGAGTTTAATCATGACCCAGTTAGTTCGGTGTAGGCAAAATGAGACATGGGACGCTGGCTTGTCTGAAAATCGGACGGATAAACGACGTCTATAATAGTGAAGGGAATAATGCTGCGGCTACAGAGGATTAGCGGTCGTCGGTTTTGTTAACAAAACTGCTAGAAACCAAGAATAAAAAACAATCAAGTTCTATATTTTATAATAATAACAACCGTAAACAATATTGACGATAATACATTTCCAAGACGCATTTTGTAGACAAATCGTGGTTATATAGTATGGAAAAAATTATTTATAATATTACGGACTAACATGATATTTTCATAACTCTGTTTATACATTGATATAATATATAGTAAAACAGGGCCATGAGTCTGTGAGATAAATAATTTTACATAATATCGATGAATTTCGTTCTTAATTCAAAATAAGTGAGAGACAAATTTAATTTAAGTCATATAATTATATTATTCTAAATAACATTTAGAATGTAGAGCGGACTAAGGCGTCGATTATGACGCACACCATCGCCGGTTCGAATCCCGACTACGAGCAGCATCGCTCTCTGGACAGATATAGGTATAGGTGGCGAGACCATCACCCCCCAACTGGGCATGGCAGAATCCTATGGGTGCCCAACTAAAAATTCAACCAAATAGGTGTCCGAACTATAGGTCTTCAGGCCTCCTCTCAGACATGAGCACCGTACGCAAAAAAAAAAAATTAAATCAGTGTAAGTGAAAAATGTATTTAATTTGTGTATAAACTGATGATAGGTTTGATATCCTCGAAATGTACATCTCACAAATGTTATCACAGGTATTTCACCCGAATCTAATTTATTTTTTTTAATATAGATTTTAGCCTTGCCTTGAAATTGCATACATATTGTTGTCTCGTCATCCAATGGCATGAGGCCATGCAATTGTAAAAATGCATTGGTTGTTATTTCGTTTTGAATAATTCAATACCATTCAGTCACCAACATATTCAAATAACTCGTACAACTAGATAAATGCAACTACACGTGTGACAAACACAACTGAACTGATTGTGTAAAATATTTTATATATTTTATTCCTATACAATACAATTTATATTTTTGACATTTAAAATACCCAGTAAATAAGCCATAAAGAAAACGTTATACCATTATAATCGAAATAACTTAAGATTAAATATTGTAGATCGTTAAAATGGTGAAAACTATGTAGTTCACACACAACGACAAAAATTTTGCTATAGATCACACATTTTAAGAATATTAAAAATACTAATTTTCACATTATGGTTATTTGTTTATGAAATACAACAAAATAACAAAATTTATTTTATCGGAAACCTGTTTGATGTAAAAATTCCCATTTTTCATAATATTTTTTTTACTTTACCAATTATTGAGAAAAGTGGGTACTTGAAATTTTTTGCCTTGCCTAATGTACCAACTAATTTCACTTTCTCATCAGAAAATATATTAAATTTTAAAATTAAATAACTTTTTTACTATAAAAATGTCTCAAAAAAAATTTAAAAAAATACGTCATTGTAAAAAACAATTCGCATATCTCCACTCAAAATCTAAGAATATTAATTAATATTTTTAGTTTGCATATTTTTGATGAAAATTTATATAAAAGGATATAAATGTTTTTTATCATTCTTTTATAGTATGAGAGTAAAATGTTAGAATTGGTAAAATACCATATTTAAAACATAAAATTTATTTTTCATGAATTTTTTAAAATAAAATTATTTTCATTATTTATAATTATTTAGATGTTTCTCTTCCACTATTTATTGCCATTCAACACGATTTTTCAATCCATATGATTTATATACACATTATTGAAAATTTTTTTATTAAGTTTATTTTACCTATATTTTCGTAAAACTTGTTGTATATTTCCTGTATTTTTGAATTCATATTAATTCATGTATTATTCATTGTTTTTTAGTGCAAACAGTTCAAAACCCTGACAATAGTATAGAACATTTGAATACTATACAAGTAGTAAATATTCTCTGTTCGACGTTACAAAATAATTGTGACTTACTCATTTTCCCTGAATCCGATTAATTTACTAAACTGAAACTAGCTGTTAAACAGAATATTCTTATTTTTGAAAGAAATGGGATTTAGATAACTTTTTTTCTCATATTTTTTTGTGTGAAAGAAGTATATAACATCATGTTTAAAACATAATGCATGCGTATTTGAGAATTTGGGATTCGGCACGTGTAATATTTTACAATAATAATAATAATATATCGTGTGATATATTTTCTTAGTGGAAAAATAACGATAACGAAACAAAATAAAGTTTCAGAGAAATCACTGGTGAAAGAAATAAACTAAAAGCGCCTTTTATATTTTCCAGAGATATAATATGTATATTATATAATAAATAAATAAATGACTGTAAAAAAAATTGTCTTACTACTCGTATTTAGCAAACTAGTTTCAAAAGAGCTGGGTCGGAGATAATATTAAATACATGATGATTAAAAATTTTATTCATCCTCGTCCTAAAGTGCTTAAAAAAATACTCTGCTTTGAAATGAGAAACTATGAATTCTTGGTTTTTATTAAAAGTATATAATTTTTGATAAAAAATAATGGTAAAAGTATAATTTTTTTAGAGAAAATGTTATTTTCTCACTACTTAAAATTATGTAAAAATTGAATCATACAATAAACTAATGTTTTTGTGTATATGTGTGTATTTTCGTGTACCTACGATATCATAAATATTTTATACGCACATTTGTTATGATATCTTCTGATACATTTTTTTTTAATTATTCATTTTCAACGAACAACACGACAGAGCTGCGCGTAGTCCAACTCGATTATCCTAGAAATATTTTTTTTAAATGAGAAATAAGTGCTAAATATAAACGTATATATTATAATAATACAAAAGTCTGACATGAATTATTATTATTAGTGTGTAAGCCGGCAATGGCTATACACAGAATGGAAGTTTCAAATGAATATACTTACGAAATAACGTCGGAGAGAAGGGGAAAAAACATTGAAATATATATTTTATGTCGAGCGGCACTATGCTACGCGGACAACCCAATAAGCCGCTTATGGCGCGTATATATTCAAGATTCACCGAAGTTATCGTCGATATTATTGTACACCGAGCCGTAAACTTTTCTCCGGCAACTACTTTCAAACAGAATTCATGGTTACGTTGCACATATTATGTATGTATGGCTAATACAAAAGTTGTCTTATACATATATAACGACACGCGTGTATCGACTCACGTTTTATGCAAATTTGATATAAATTATAATATTGTTTACTGACTTTGCGTTTCACGGGGGGGGGGGGGATAAAAGAATAATCGAAACGAACGCAACCAAACTGATGCAAAGCTTTCGTATAATATATCACATGAAATATGTAAATACAATGGGATTTATAATAATGTAGTCATTGAAATTTCAATAGACAATTTTTTTGTTTGATTTCAAGTTGTTTTCATGTAACACTTCTATAATAGACATTATACCATGCTATACCATAATATACAATAAACGTCCAAAAAATGATCAATAATTGAAAAATGTTTATAGAACTTGACATTTACTATAAACATTACGTCTTAATCATAAAATTGTGTGTGTTAGACTTCACGAATAAACAATAAACATCTATTTTATTATTATTGTTAAAAACACGTCTATCTGATCGGGAAATCAAGTGAATTTATAGGTATATTCTATCAAATTATTAATAATTTAATATACCTAATACAGATATATCGATGAAATCAGTTTATCGACTCAATATAGATAAATACTATATAATGTATTCCCATATTCAGGTACTATTATTTTTCATGATAATAAATTTATATTTACGAATTTCTTATCGGGATATAAAGTATACAGGACATAAGTAAATTATGTATATTTGTGAATAAAAAATATATTATTTTAACTCAAGGCATTTAATATTTCGTAAATATTGTTTAAAATTATTTTTTATGTGATTTTATGCAATAAAAATATTAATTTTACTATTTTTATCTTTATTATTTTTTAAGTAGCACATAGGTACATTTAAAATTTAATTTTTTAAATGACATTATTTTCAAGGTAATTTTTTCTATAGTAATCGAATTTTGAACGATTATTTAATGAATTACGTATAAACTGTTATTGATCGGTTTAATAAACTAGCGTTTTGCAAGATACAATAACTTGTAAACTATAAATAAATAGTTAAATTTATAAATATAACTATCTATATTAGTAAACAACGTAATCAAAAATCGATTAGTATCATTGAAATGCTTCAAATAATTTCTTTCGGAGTATTAAATTAAAAATGTATTGTGTCATTCATAAAAATAAATAACTTAAAAAAATTATGCTGATAAAAAGAATACCCGTGTAATAAAAATATATTTATTTTAAAAAAGTCATATTTTTTTATTGACTTTGAATTAGATAATATAATTTTTCAAAGTAATATGCTGAGTTGACATTTAAAAATAATGGGTATCTAAGGTTAAAAAAACAAACTCTATATGTCCATATATAGTATATATATATATATTCTGTTCATGCGATTCTTTATTGTTCTTCTAGAAATCATATAGCAACTAATCCGTAATTTATAAACTACACACTTCAATAATGTAATATAATATAGTATATATGTGTAATTTCATACATTACCAATAGTTGAAAAATTGGTATTATGTTTCTCTTGTATTATTCATAATTATAATTTATTAAAAATTTCGAAAAAATTAATTATTAGAAAACTTCCTAAATCAATACATTTCTAGTTACTCTCAATAATAAAAAATTAAAATGTTATGAATGTTAAAAATAAATACTAAATTTCTGTTATATTTTTAAATCACATTAATTTTGATTCATAGTACTCTTCCATTCCCAGTATATGATGTTACAGAGAGTTAAAATATTTAGACAATTTTTATGACTTAATTGTGTAATTAAAAAATTAGTATATTTTGACAAAAAATACGATAGACCCAAAATAACCGAATTAAAAAAAGGTATGCAAGGGGTTACCACTTGTACATTAAGTGTCAAATGAATATGACTATGAATATGAGTATGATAAATAATTTTAGTTCACTGATATATCATTGTATATAAAAAATGATTTTGAACAGAGACGGTATGTTAATCTATATCACTAAGTATATTTTATGATATATTTTTTTTGCTTTATTTACATAACTATTAAAATAATTTATTTAATTTTTATTATTATAATAGGTTGATAGAATTGTTTCCGAAAATATTGTCTTTATATTATTATAAGTATTAAATTATCATATTAATATATATTTGTACCATATTATATTGACTTAAAAATTCAAAATGTATTAACACTTAACAATTTTTTTTTTATTTATATAATATGTAGGTTGAAAAATTATAAAAATAATGTTTTTAATTTTATCAATTTCTAATTGATTTTTATGAATTTTATCAAATTTTACTTTGAAATGGTTATGAAAAAATTGTGACTACCTATAGATTTTCGATATTTTTTAAAATTAAGTAATAAAAAACTCATGACGAACTTTGCATTAAATGTTTAAGTATTTTTATCCAGTGAATGTTTTCATTAATATTAATTCAACATAATTCAAAAATAGTAGTAATATTTTCATAATTTTATTATTATTTATTAAGTCTGAAAATATAAATATTCAATGAATATTTCAAATATTTACGATTATTCGTTTTTAACTTAAAGTAAAAATATCCGTTTTTCCTTATTTTTAAAATTTCCTACCAGAAACATTTCTCTTTTTTAAAAATAAAACGTACATTATTATAAAAATAACACATTTATCAATCTACTCAAAAATTTAAATTAGTAAAATAAAATATTAATTATTCTATTTTGAAACAGTAAAACATACGCATATAATATATAAATAACTATGTATAATCGACACTATGTCTATATTATATGTGATTATAGGACCAATACTAAACAAGACCATTAACCATATGCTTACGTGTTTGTCATTTTGTACGATTGTTTATTCTTGTGTACCTATGCTATGCATTATTCAAATTACATGATGTGCGTATAAGTTCCTTTGAAATATAATAATTATTAAAACGAAAATGGTTCGAGAGTCATTACAGTTATTAAATCATGTTCTTTGATATATTTTTGATGTATTGTACATTGATTCTCGCATGTTATTTGAATCAAGGTTTTTGATAAATGTAATAAATATATACTACCAGCTATTAGCAACCTATATTTTTATAATAAATATTTCGAAAACTGGAAATTCACAACAAATTCCAGACAGTTGAGCTAAAAATACGAAATCATTAAGTTTTGCGTTGAACCAAGATTAGGTACTTATTATTTTTATATTTTATACTCAATAGCTGTTTTTTTTTTTTTCTAATGAAACGCATTTTCGAAAGGATTGACGTATAAACGTTAAGTATAGAAGTTTTTAAAGTGCGAATACAGGGTACTCAGTGATGAAACGACTAAATGTATTCACAATAAATAGTCACAATATTATACGTAAAGACTAAAGTGAATTTATTCTTATTTGCGGAGTTTTTTTATTTTTTTAATTGTTTTTTGGTTTTGGGATTTTCTATGAAAAGTATTAAGTTTGAGAAACGCTTTATACAACATAAGCATTACCAGTGTATAGGTGACATTGTGTTTTAGATTCTGAGCTAGGCAAATATTTGATTGATTTCATAATGATGCTTGTTTATTTTGTTTTTGTGTCTATAGACACTTTTTCAAAAAAAAAAGATACTCTGTTCATCGACTTCAATGGGAGTTTCTAGTGAAAAATTTGATTTAGTCAGTACTTTTATGATATGAACATAAATAATTTTCAGTATTTTTTAAAATAATATGAGTAATAAGAAAAAAAATACAAATATTTATTGAAATTTTTATATCATTAAAATAATATTGTTATATTTTCAATAACCAGCTATACTCGACATCTACTATACAGCAGAGTTTTGTTTTCATATTTTGATATATATAATACACACATATATATAAATATATAATATTCTATATAGGTTTTCTATTTAATTTTATTTCCTTTACTATGCACATTAATATTTATAAACCATTAAAAAAATCTTATTTTGCCTAAATATGTATTAATTTGCTCTGTTTCGAATATTTTTTGGGGACTTCAAGTATATTAAATTCACAACCCTGAAACCAATTCCAAAATAATATTTTGTTAAGTCAAATATCTATACTTACGAAGACTTAACTCATAGTCTAATGTTTGACTAATCGTATTTCAGGTGATCAGCTACGATTCGCTTCGCGGAGGCGTGAGCGTGGTCACAGAAAAGGGAGACGTGACGGTCAGTTATCTGCTCATACAGGATGCAGTGCAAGCAGATTCTGGCAAGTACACGTGCAACCCATCAAACGCGGACTTATCAAGCGTGGTAGTACACGTCCTAAATGGTAAGTGTAAAGAAATAAGTATAAATAATATATCCAGTTTTCGTACGATAAAAAATTAGAAATCGTACTAATTACTACGTACCGTTTCGAGTTACAAAATCCTTATAGATGTAAGATAACACTAAATGACGATTTTCCTCCTTGGATCGCTTAAAAAATATTTAATCATTGATTTTAGTTAGAAAAATTTAAATTTTATTACAATAACCAATACATGCATATTATACTTAATAACTATTAAGTATTCAATATTCTCAATTTATACAGTGAAACTTTATATCTGTGGCAAATACTTCTCATTATAACCATATCAACTGTTTTAATAAACAATCTATTAATTTTAATCAAACATATGTTACCTTTTTATATCAAGTAAAGAATTGTATTTAAATTTATTGTTTCTCTTTTAGTTTTGTTTTCAAACAATTTCATGTCATTACCTACTAGTGTTGACCAACGATAATTTTTAATTATCGTTTTTGTATTTTTTTTTTTTTTTTTTTATTGCAACATCGGAATAATACCAATATCGATATCGATTTAAATAACAACAAGTTACATTTTATAAAATTTAGTTTAATAAAAGCATATTAAAAGTATAGAATACATATTATATAACCAACAGCACATTTGCGCTTTTCACAAAAAACTTGATTTTTATTTAATATAATTCCCTTTTAATTAACTTAACTTTAAAACCAAAATGTTTCCATATATCACTCCAATCACCAAACAACGATACTAGTTTAAATTTTTCACTCATTTTGTTTAATATAAATATAAAATAAGTAACAAAATAAAATAATTACGACGTCTCAACACGAGTTAACAACCGGCACTGAATTTAGATTAAATTGTTTGGTGTGGTGAGCTATTTCTTTGAAACATATCGCCTCGTATCATAATTCAGTATATTTTATTTTATACTTTTATAGATATAAATTTATTTTATACTGTTTACTCATTTTAGTGTTTAATCGTCCGTAAAATCACGAGCCCAGATTAATCACCCCGATATCGCTATATTTTCGATAATTATTTTTAGATATCGATATCGTTGGCCAACACTATTACCTACGCATTATTTACTAAATTATATAGTATTTGTACAAGTGATTTCGAATTTTCAATAATCAATTATATAATTTATATGTCTACACATCAAACTTTTTTTGACATCTTAATATAATTGTATTATTTTATCATACTATAAAATACAACAGTGACATACATAGTGCAGTTATTTTACTTCTTGTTTTTCTGATATAACATTAATTTTTAACTCATATTAATTTTAAGTAGGTACTATGTTTTGTTTACCTCTATTTACATTATTTTGAACATGGACAGATATTATAAACTATACTTATTAGACAAATATGTGATAGTGATTTTATTATTATCACTAAAATATTAAATTATTATTTGTGAACCACAATCCAAAAACCTTTTACAAGGAATCTAGATATTAGATTAGATTAGTTTTAAGTTGGTTTGTCTCTATATGTATTACCTAGAACTAGTGCTCTGCATATTCTAGTCTAGTTTGGTCCCAACATACAAAAACTATTGAATTTTTGGTTTGGTCCAATTCAATTTTTTTAGGAATAATTCAGTCTAATCTTCAGATAAAACGCATTATTATCAGTCCGGTTTGGTTTCAAAAAAAAAAAAAAAATGAAAATTATTTCGGTCCAATCCGGTCTCAATTACGGTACTTAAAATCTAAATTAGATATTATTATTATGTAATACAAATAAAACGATAAACCCCAAATAAAAATAAAATGTATTTATACCGAGTGTTATTATAACATCTTATGGTCCGGTCTGAGCTAATATTGACTGAACCTTACGGTCCGGTCCATAAACGGTCCAAAATATTTTTAATATGGAACCGGCAGTCCGGTCCCGGTCTACTCTATTCTATTAAATTTAATTATTGGTCCGGTTAGGTTTATAAATAATATGTAGCCATGGATTCAGTCCAAATTTAGTTTTCTGTTTAACTTCTGTTTAAGTGTAGTCAGATCCGAATTCCAGTCTCTTGTTTAAATTTGAAGTCCGGTTCGATCCCTAAAATAACGAACTGTGCAAAGCACTACCTAGAACAAATAATATTATTATATATAAATTATATAACTATTGAGTTGGAATGTTGAGGACATTTGATTTTTTTCAACTAGCCCAATAAATAATATAAATCTGTTTTCAACCATACATTATTGTTATTCGTATAAACACACAAAGTTTAATCTTTTAGCTATTTTTTTTTTTTTTTTTTTGAAATCCTATTTTTTATTTTTTTATTTTTTTTTAAACTGTTTTCATTAAAGTACATGTAATGCATTGTATTCCAAAGGTTTATATTTAATTTTATAATACGTATTGGTTTCAACAAGGCGTAATGCATTATTTAAAATAGTTAATTTTCCATTGGTTTAATCTGGGTCAAAATATTTTAAGTACTAACATTTTTTAAATATGCGTTTTTATACATGCGCTGTATTTGTTTATCATTTTAATGTATTACCTAAAAATGATTCTGTTGAACAATTAATTTTAATTTTTTTTGTAAACTTTTAATGCATTTTTTAGGGTTTTTAATATTTTCTATTTTCTTATTTTAAATTGCTCTACATTATTACAGTTTAATAATGCTACGATATCTAAACCCTATATATTAGTACGAAGCATAAAAAATGTATTTTTTAATATTAAACATCATAATCATAATAAATAATAATTTTTATAAATTACATAATTTTATTAATTCATCCTCGTTCTTTTTTTTCATTTTATCTTGCAGGCGAAAGTCCGGCGGCCATGCAGACCGGTTCAGCTGGCTTATCCAACAGTTCCATCACGATACTATGCGTAATGATCCTAAGCTGGACATTCACCAGAACCGACGATCAGCTGAGATAATAAACACGCGCCCGCCGCCTATATCTGCCTCTCCAGCAACCATTACTCTAATAATATAAATTATAAATTTTATTATTATATGAAATTTACATTTAATTGCAAACTATAATGGTAACCAAATTAAAAACAAATAAATACAAAAACAAAAATAATGTTAGAGCAAAAAAACCCGTGTGCGCGGCCGAAAGTGATGTTTTCTCTCGTTTCTACCAACTACAATTACATTTCTTTATAATATTATGTTCAATATGAGTATATGACTTATACGATAGAGACCACTGTTATCATAAGAGATGTGCTCGTGTTATTTCTTTTTTATTTTTTTTTTTTTAGAAACGTATTTGTAAATATTTTTACTACAATGAAAAAATTATTATAAACATTGTACAGAATTTTTTTTCTATATACTATTCACTACTATGACGTCAATCCCGGTGTATGGATATTATTATCATTATATAGATGTCGCTTGAACACTGTGAGTTGTTTCCCACAAAGTCGTTGTAAAACACCAGAAAACACTCATGTTTTTTTTTTTTTTTTTTTATTTATAACTGTTGCTTTGTACATAATATATACATAAAATTATCCAAATTCTCGTACAATAATATGCACTCCCCAGTTTTCGACGCGTATTCGTTTTATTATCGCGTCTCCTTAAATTGTTTAATAGTAATTAATGTCCGGTCGCTTGTTGTAAAATAAAAAAATATTTTATTTTTCGTACGATGCATATTATGTCGTATTGCCGGCAATAAATGTCCAAACGGAACATACCCACAAAAACGAATAAAAATCGAAAAGGGGTAATCTTGCTCCGCTTAAGTGTGTAGCTACACATCGTGTTATGTTATAAATTTTACGAAATCGTCACTGTGAATTACATGTGTAATTAGGGGATGAGGAGGGGATCCAATCAGCCTTTTCCAATGTTTTACAATTTTGGTATACTGAGTATTGATTTATATACACCCTAGTAGGTGTATATTTTATAATATGTGTATAATACAGGACTATTCTAAATTATTCATCTGTTGCTTGGCACTTGGTCTTCGATCTTTATCAACTCGATATTGCTCCATGTGTCTCTTTTTTCTGGATTTATATTAAAAATACTGTTAACCATAGTTAAATATAAGTTAATCATAACTTTTAGTTCGTTCTGTTTACGTACCACCATTATAATTAACCAAATTTAGAAGCTAAAAAATCGGAAGAGTTAACTACAAACGGATTTGCTGAAACAAGTATGCGATGCATTGCAGACTATCAATTGGATGTTGTTCTTGTAAGGATTGGAAGTCATACACAATATATTGTATGTATATATACCATAAACTAAATTTAAAATATTATTATTTTATTAAATATAGCAACTATATATAGGTCCAAAACTTTCTTTTTTTTTTTTAATTTTATGTTTACAATTACTTTTGACAATTATTAGGTACAGTATAAAAGTTGCTTTCAAGAAGAAAGAGTAGTTAATAGAGATCCTTTTTTCTATTATTTGGTATATCTTTGTACAAAATGTAAATACGGTTGATGGAAGAAAGTAAGAAATATTATGGAGTGAAAATTATAGGAATTGTAATTTTGTTAATTAAGGATGTTAGAGTCAGTAGGCGAGGGTTTAGAATGGGTTGTAACATTTCGATGAATTAATTGATGATTTTAAATGACTGATCAACTGATGCTGTGTTGGCTATGACTTTGGCATATGATATATTTTTATTGTTATCCTTATCAACATTGGGCTTCATATGTGTTGAAGGCGGTATATTGATATTTGGAGTGGGATGATTATTTAATTTGGCTGTCTTGAGATTTTTACGGTTTTTTAAAATGTTTTTGTATAGGGGACAGCCCTTATAAAAGGTTGATACGGACCTGTGCATAGAGTGCACTTTGCAGAATCCGATGATTAGCCTAAAAATGATGATATTCTGAAATCAAATGAATCATTTTAATTAATCCAGTATATAGATACACTTGACTAACAATATTAAAAATGTTTAAAACACATCATGTACACAGCAAATGAAAAAAAAAATTGATCGAGAGAGGAGAGAGTGAGAGAGAGAGAGAGAGAAAATCGTGACTACTTTTTATCACTGCTTCGGCATTATATAGATCACCACTACGACGGAGTTGTCTGGATAAATTTTACGTCCCGTAAAATTTTCGTGTATTTTTTATTTTTAAATTTATTTTAACGATTTTTCCGCGATTCATGAACCAACAGCAAATTACATCAGACAATGGCGATATTATTATAATTATTATTGTTGGCGCTTATTTACGCGCGTATAGATTACTATACGTTACGCTCGGACATTGTATACGTAAACACTGAGTAGAACAGCGGTCCAGTTGAAGGAGAGGGTAAAAAATTAACCATTCGTGACGGTTTGGAATCGATAAATTAACAATATAGTATAATACACGTAATATCATAATACTATACGCGCCGTTACGGTTGAAATTCGAAACGTGTGTAACGTATATAATTTAATTTTATGTACCGAGATGTATACGGAATAATAATTATAATAATATTGTCGTAATACGTTTTCGTTTTATTGTCAACAGTGATTTTATTATAAAAAGCTGCATTGATTATGGTACGATAACTAAAAACAGCGATATAGTTTTACAGCCACAACAGCACACCCATTTTTTAGATGTCAACCCAACCGATACTAACCACCATCTGAACGTTTGTATAAATACTTGTTTTAGAACAGGCACGTTTAGTTGACTTCATTATTCAATAGGTATTTATAATAAATTATGTATAATGTGAACAGCTGGTACCTATTTTTAGGACTTTTTTTTCTATTCAAATCGCGTTTACGTGTTTATTAAACATTATGCATAGTTAGATCGATTCGCTTTTTATCTCCAATCATAATTGTTTTAAAATGTCTGAAAACTTGTTTCAAAGCACGGTTCTTATACAATGTAAAGCTTTATTATTATTTAAAATATTTATAAATTTGAATTTGTAACTTCATTCTTTTTCCTTACGATTGTATCATTCTTGGTATACCTTTTTGGAAACTTGATTAATATATTCAAATGTATATATTAGATAAATAAATAATTAAAAAAATTATATCCTACTACAAAAAAAAAAAAAATATTTCAAAAGGAAAACTCTCAAGTAGCCTTTTATTATTAAATACATTTTAATTTATTACATTTGTATGCCAAAATCGTTCTTTTAATTCTGACTTTAACGTCAACGAATAAACATTAAAACAAATCATTTCAATATTAATAACTTTATGAGTTTTTAAAAAAATACACCCCCTGAAAATATAATTTATATGACATACCGTATTTATTTTTGTTTTATTTTATAATGAAATCTGTATATATCACTAAACACTACGGTGATAATAACGCTTCAGAAAATTTAATGCACAAAATTATACTAAAAAAAATCTACACACCGGAAAATTGAATGAGTTAAATCAACCATAACGTTGCGTAGATAAATGATTTTAAAATCGATTAAAACCTCATTAGATATTATGACCTTTATAAAAATGTCCATCTACGCCACATCTATATATATTGTATAATAAAACTATAGTATTAAATAAATTGCATAATATATGTAATCATTTATTTTTTACAATTAACAATATACAATTCTATTCCATTACGGTTTATGATGTACGGAGCTGACTTATAATATACGACACGCCATTGTCATCATGGTTATTTATAAAGATTCAAACAATTTATCAACGCAATAATCCCATTGATGATTAAATAAAAATAAATAAATTGTGTTTTCTCGTTAAACCGTTATAGCGATATTTTTATTTCCCCAAATCTTGTTATCTAATCAGAAAAAACCGAATTCAATCACAGATTGGGAAATTTTTTTTATTTTGACAATTCATGTATTGCTGACACATTATTATGCAGAGCTTTGTCATAAATTTTAATAAATTTAGAAATAACTAAATGCAACGAAATAACATACACAATCATAATACCGCGAGTATACCTCACATAGGTACTCATATAAAACTGCCATCTGTCAGAAAAATGAATCATTTATTTGTCATCCATGTCACCTGATGCGTTTGTTATCTTAATCTACAACTTATATTAATGACGTGGAAGTAATAACAAGTGTTTGAATTTGTATTTAAGTGCATTAATTTGTTTATCACATAGTAGGAATTTTATAAATTAGTTTTATTATTTCTTGTAATGAATATGTTTTCAATGACATACTCATATTCGTTTATAATTTCATATTTCAAAATAGAACATAAATTTATAAAAATATTTCCATAACAGTGAAGTTTCTTGTTGGTGAACATTTTAAAGCTGATAAATAAATTAGATAATCGGTTTTGTTTAAGAAACTATCAACTTGACCTTTTAGATTCTACTAAAATCAAAATAGATGTCACCAAATAAAAAGTAAATAAATTACGACCCAAAAATAATTGTAAAACATTTTATTTTATTTTTTCTCAGAAACAGTGCCATGATTAATTTTGAATTTTTTAAGTACTAAGTATAAATAAAAATATTAATTCACATTTTCTAGGTAAAATAATTAATTCTAAAGAGTCGCCGGAAAGATAATATATATATATTAACACTAAGAAATCTTTAATTAAAACTCCAAGATATCAAATCAAAGAAATAAAATATTGATCGTGTGACTAATAAACAATTGTCTAAGAAAACACTGTAGAAAACGTATGTATTTCGATACTTATTAATTTCAAATAATTGACCGATGCGCGTTTAAAAAAAATTCTCAACAATCGCAGACAAACTTAATATAATATTACCCTATTATTTAGTGTTTCGACAATTATTATTCATTTATCTTGAAAAAAAAAATATTAGTTTACCATAGACAAATATAATATCTTATTTCATATCCTATTAGTGTGATCTTAATAAAAAAATGTCCCCTCCCTGCATAGTCTGCAAAAGAATGGTGACGAATAAAAACGATAAGGCGTGCAGTGTCGTAACAATTAAATATAACGTTATGTGGCGGCTTGTCCGAAACACATTTAGTCGTATAATACGTCTTAAAGAAAATATTGTATTATTACATGTTATAAGACGGATTTTCTTTTTTCCTCGTTTCCAAACGCTTTTACTATTACACTATTCTATCCTTTTTACGACTAGTCGCGACAAACCCGTTTCCGTATTTTTTCCAGTCGACCGCGTCGTGAACCATCTAATCTCATCTTCACGACGAACCGACAGAGTGGAGATAACTTTCAGTCCACCTAACCTAACCCTTGAAATATTGTAAAACATTTTCTGAACCTCATGATGACATACTATTTTGTTTCATAACAATTATACTACACAATACATACGCAAAAAAGTCCGACATTTAATTGAGAAATTTTATTTTTGAAATAATAATTACCTATATGTATAATAATTATTATAATATTATTATTATTATTATTTGTAATCATTTTAATAATCATGTAAACCTGTAATAAAATATATCAATTTTCCTAGACCGTTCAATAGTCTGAAATTGAAAAATAAAAATAACTGACTTGAACAGATTTGATGAAACACTCTGTATTGCCATGATATAATATCTGTAGTCTATACTCTTTAGTATGAACGCGTTGATAATATCTTTGAATATTATTAATTTGAAAGCACGAGGACAGTATAAAACAGCATCACAAAATAACGTCGTTGTCCGTTTTTTTAAGGGTATACTCTCGTATTAAAATATAATGTATATTTTTTTTTTTTTGGTCGCTGGCAATTAAATTTTTTTCGAGATGGCGAGTTTGGATAAAAAGTAAAAATTATATTCAAGTGAACTCACTCGGCTGCTGCAGGATGTTTAAAAAACAGGTTGTGACGTGAGATAAGATAGCTCGCTCTTCAGCCCCATACAACCAAAGAAATTTGCCCGACCGCTTGTTTCTTATCAGCTGTTGTATTGTTGCTCACGACGCCCAAGGCCTGACGAAAAAACAAATTCCGTACGCAGTCATAACTCATAACGTCTAAACTTACCAAGTTCGTTTACAAATTAATATAATACGTACCTATACATAGTAAGTTACTGGCCAAACAACAGAATACCCATTATCGTTGTTCCGTTTCACCCACGCATCTCGGTATATAATTTGTACATAATATGTTATATTCAAAATACATTCCTTATACTCAAATCTAAAAAAAAAACATTAACGTATCTAAACATACTCTATTTGCTGTACCACTCTTCCCCCTCTGAGTGCAAAATTTCAGTTCATAATATATATTATAAAATATGTAAATATTATTGTTTATTGTTTTTTTTTTAAATTGTATTTTATTTGTTTTTATATTTTAACTATGACGTATAAGTCTGAATGTTTGTTAAATACCAACTCTAGTAAAATAATATAAAATATAGTGATTGTTTTATTATTCAGAAAATCAAAATTCATTGTTTTCTAATTCAATTATTTATTATTACTATTATACTGTTTTGTAATATATATTACATTTACATTATATTATACAATTTATGTATAATGTAATATAAATTATTATTAAAATTATTATTATTATTACTATATAATATTATATACATATATTGATTTTATGTACTATTTAGCATCTCGTTTGAATATAATGTTTTTAAATAATTATGTTCAATATACTATTATTAATAATACGTTAATTATAAAATGATATAAAAATAAAAAAAAAAACAAATATGTAAAATGCTTAGATATATAATCCACACGTATTATTTCGGATTGCCACACTACATTTTTCATTGTACAATTTATATTATAATATGACATATTATATAATATAACATGGTTATTATTTATGTAAACATATTGTGAATAAATACATGTACATATTATAAACATTAAATGTATTGTTATTATAACTATGATAAATTGTTATTGGTTATTATGTATTTGTTTATTTTCAATAAACACTAATCATTATAGAGACAAAAAAACAAAATTAATATAATAAGAAATTAATATTTCTTAGATAAAAGTTTTTATAAATTGTAATAGGTACCTGTATTGTGTTAGTATTAGCTGTCCCTACGCAGCGTTGTCTGTGTATTAAGGCTTTTGCACACTAGGCGAATAGTTTTCACGCGGACGCGGTTTTAAATCGCCGCGAACGTTCGCTTAAAATTAAACAGCTTGTATTAAATTAGACCATTCACACTACGTAAAGCAAGCGAATAAAATCCACAATCGTCCGCGATCGATCGCACATGCTTAATTTTGGGTGAACATTCGCGGCGATTTAAAATCGCATCCACGCGCGAACTATTCGCTTAGTGTGTAAGGGCCTTTAGTTTTTTTTTTTTTGGCATTTTCGTAGGTCATGTATTAGTGTTTAATTTAATTGTATTGATATTAACTGGAATTCACAATTTAATTGTGTGTGTGTATGTGTGTTAATTGTTATAGCACTCGGATCAGGACCGACGATCTACGGTAGATGAACGCAGTGGGCGTGACCCATTTCGCCCAAAAATGACCGTACCCGTATCGCCCAGATGCCCGTTTCGCCCAGACTAGTTTATACCAATTTAAAATTAAGTTAGCAATGGTTCAGTCAAGTATTGTTGTACATTATACTTGAGTATCACTTATAGCGTTACCTAGAGAACACCATGAAAAGGCAATACGACTCTTTATTCTCCAATTTTTTTTTTTTAAACTTTAAATTCACTTCGTGTTAAAAAAAATTTTAATATTAACAAGTACATTATACAAATTATTTAAAAAAAAATTCACATGCAATCAAAGATTTTAATACTTACATATATATTTAATACTTACACACTATAAATTTTACATATAAATTTAACCACACAAATTGTAAAAACAATATGGCCGTTTATTTAAAAAGTAAACGAGATTTGATGTCAGAATGCCCAACTGACA